TGAAGAGCACTGGATTACAGCCTCTGCTTCTCCAGATTGAGAAGTCACAGCTGCAATGGCTTGGGCATGTGTTGCGAATGCCTCCAGAAAAGAAGGCTAAGCGACTGTTCCTTGCAAATCCGACCGGCTGAAGGCCCAGGGGACGGCCAAGATTAACCTGATGCAAATATACGGAAGGAGTCTGTTCCAGACTCCAGTTGTCTTTTGCCGATGTTCGAACTCTGGCACAGGATCGGTAACGTTGGAAGCTCTGCCTGACGCGTCTGTCTCCGCGACCCGAAAGGAGAAGCGGCGATGGAAGATGAAGAAGGTGTAACATCAAAGAGAGCGAAAGGAAAAAACTCAGCAAAAACAAGAGCTTCCTAGAGAAACGGGAGGGAGATAAAGAGAGATGAAGCAGAGATTGTGGAGTGCCATCATCTTTGCAAGCTGAAAGAGGACTTCGAGAGCTTCCGACTGCGAAAATTAGAGAAAACAGCCGAAGACAATAGAACCCTCAGACAATGCAAGAGAAAGTTAGCTCTTCATCAGTCGAGCATCACGGCGTTTAAGAGCGAGGATGCGAATTAACGCCTGACAGCTGACATGCAGTCTATCTGTGTAAAAACTGTTATACCCAGCTTTTTGGGTCAAAGATACGTTCTCCCCAAAATCACTCCAATAGCAAGAACGAAACGAAAACTCCCCAAATCTCATAAACTAAGTTCGGCATGCTGCCCAACAAATGAAGAAAGGAAAAACCCTAGGGAGAAACTGTCTGAGAACTGAAATGATCAGAGCAGGCGGTCGGACGCTGTGGAAGGCTTTAACGAAGAGGTTCAGTTGCTACCTGCAAACGAAAAAGATAACACCAAGCTGGAAGGAGTCAGAAACAATCATCTTGTTCAACAAGAACAAGAAAGAAGATGAAGAACTATCGCCCGATCTGCCTCCGCTCACAAGTCTGGACAAACATCAGCCAAGAGAACACACAGTATTGTGAAGAAGCTACGGCACAATGGATAACATATTTGCCTTAAGTCAACTACGAACGCGTGAGAGAATTCCAGCTTCTTCTGTG